CATCAAAATATAAAAGTTTAATATCAAATGATGTATGTTCATGAGGGAAATGTTAATATAAAATTATTGCAGGCACACAACTAAAAATTACAAAAAAACCATATCAAGAATTTAAGTTTTGGTTGCACTTATCTCAGAACTTCTTGAAGTTCGTCCCTTAGGATTAAAAACTGCAAAACCTATTGATATATTGCGTAAAAATTACTTAAAAAAGATACATACGTGACCTACACGTGAGGATCAGATATTTTTGACAATGGACATGAAGAAATATCTTAACTTCTTTATGTCACAATATTATATTCTTAATGAATTCAACAAAAGTATGGATAAAGAATGGAATCTCAAATTCGGTGTATAACTTTATAACAAGATTTGTTAAAACCTAGAAAAGTAATTTTTTAAAGTAAAATGCTTAAGTGCTACCGCAAAAATGATATATCTATACTAAATATTTAATTATATTAAGTATTTTCTTGTTTACCCACAATATTTTATTATTTGTATTCTCCAAGGTATGAAAAGTGTAATTGAAAATGATTAATAATATTTACCACGCACAAAATCAAAATAATTACATGTACTAACATACAAGGTAATGATCCTTTTCACATGAAAAAGGATAAAAATGAAACTAAAACCTCCAGATCTCCTAAACACAAAACTAAATTTTGCAAAAGAGATCCAGTACCTGGCTCACCTTTGACAGTAAGTTAACATGAAACTCACATCTAGAAAACCTGATAAAAAAGAAACATAAATTGCTTATGAACAATGCCATAAGGCGCACCTGGATGTCTCACTCACAGAATCGTCACATGTACCTACACGGTTATCATAAGGCATATGATAACATATGATGCAGTTGCTTGGGTACCAAACTAGAACAAATACGACAATCAACTTGTTGCAATATAACAGGGGCCATGAAAACCATACCAACCTGAGCCACAAAACGATCGATATGCTTAAACTACTTCAAGCGATCATATCTTTCATAAGCCATATAAAGTTATAACAAAACAAATACATAGAAGAGCCGGAAGTACGATTTATATCTGGATCTAAAACAAAACAAGAGTCAGGATGTCAATATAATGCAGGTCCTTAAGCATACAAATAAAATGGGCTGCGAATAATAGTGTCAGTGATGTTTAAACTAAACTCACGGGGATTTTTATAGCAGTGCAAGAAATTGCTTGAAAGAATATCACACGAGCACTACCACTCATCGTGGACAGACCACGAATTTACTTAGGATTAGTACTAGAATGCCTTGCCGGTTTTATAGCTAAATAAATAGTTTTTGGACCTAACTTATTTATTGGACTGACCACATCGTTGTAATAAACATAAAGAACATTCCTTTGTAAAATTCAAAACATAAAGCTGCAGCGTTGACAGGTATCTTTAAAGATGTTCTGACAACACTGAAGAAAACGAGTATCTGTGCAACATGGGGCTCACACAATCCACAATTCTTGGGGTGCGAACAAGAAGAAGAGACTTTTGAGCATATCGCCTACGATGGACCAGAACTCTCATTTACTAGAAGATTTGTGTGGGTAACACCAATTGATATAAGAGAGGCACATCAAATGTAGGCTGTCTGATGAGCTAAATTTATTAGGATATACAATGGGCTTAGTGAGGGGCCCCTTCACACTTTTTAGATAAAGATTGTAACGTAATATCTAGTTATTCTATCTACTTGATTAATGTGTTTGAGCTCAATTGATAGGGCGTGGGTTAGGTTATTAAATAACTCGAATAACTTTAAAAAAGAAGTTGGGCATCACTATATTTAAAGCTTACTACACTTGACTCTAGATTAGTAATAAAAATATAGAAAATCACCAATCACCAACAAATAATATTTAAACCATGCTTTAAATAAGGTAGCTATCAAATTCTAATTTACACAAGTTTTACTAAATTCAAATTTAAGATGATTTATTGAATAAGCACTTATCTTTTGGTAAGTTAAGTAATATACGGAATGTAAAACTAGGTTACCTCAAGGTATATCATCAGGCAACTTCCACAAGGGATTCGGGATCCTTATCCGTAATTCTGCATAATTCTGCAACGTGAATGATCTTCAGTATTCAAACTTAAACTTGAACTCGAAACTGTCTAGTGATGAGACCAAAACGTCTAGATATAAATCCAAAAAAACGTCTAGAGATGAATCCAAAAAACGTCTAGAGATAAATCCAAATCACGTATAGAGATGAATCAAAAACCGTCTAGATATAGCCATGCTAAAAAAGGATGAAAATGTTATCATAGGAGAAAGGAAGTTTAAAAAGGATTTAGATAAAATGCTTTAACTTTTAAATGAATAATTTCGCAGAGACCAAAATTAATATGAAAAGGAAAAATCTTATTTAATATTTTTATATAGTAAAGCATAATATCTTATTCCTTTAAAATAATATATATTAACCATGTGTTATTCATTATTGATATTGAGGTTATGTTTAAAACTTTACAATTTATTCAAGAAATCCTTGAATAAAATACATATATTTAATAATATATTATTATTATTATTAAAACTTACCTTATAAAATCAGACGGATTTCAAGATAGATAAAAATTATCTAATGCTTTGGATGACTAAGATAAATTAAAATAAAATTAAGTTGATTGTGTCGCTGTCAACCAAGTCAAAAATAAATCTCACAAAACGACAAATGACATTTGAATAAGAGGTGCTTGTGTAGAAATAACGAAATAACGGTCCTAACCGTTACAAGATGTACTTACATACTATCTAAATAATCAAAAACCATTAAAATGCCGCGTTCTTTGCCAATTCAAACAAAATTGCAATGTATTAACCAGCTGCGCTACTGGTTTTTACAACAAAAAATTCTGGAATGCGAAAAAATACAAAATTAATAATTCACCTGTTGCAAGAGGATTGATTATTTGTTTTATCGCAGTGGAAATTCATCAATAAAATTATTGGTCAAACTGTTTACTGAATTTTATTTTATTAACCGATTTCAAGAAAGGAGTAGATTCTCAATTCGTCGTAATATTTTTTTTTTGTACGTTCAGCGATAATTCTTCAACACGGTGTCCGATTTTAAAAACTCTTTTTGTTAGAAAGGGAATACTTCAGGGGTGGTCCCATATCAATTTGGTCAAAATCTAATAATTGGGTCCATTAGAAAATCCTCAAACTCTATTTATTATGTATGTTTAGCGGTAATTCTTTACCACCTTATCCGATTTCTATGATTCTTTTTTTTTGTTAGTAAGGTGGTACCTTAGGGGCCCTATTTGGTTGAGATGTGGTGATGACATCTGCATCATTTTGAAATTATTTTTGTAACTTTTTATAATATAACATTGCGATAAAACCAACTGTGGGCGAATTCTATAAATTTATTTAAAAGTAAATATTCAATTCGTGTTAGACAAACTACATTTACATTGAAAAATTTAAACGAATTAGGGCAAACAGCAAACCTATATACCGATTTCATGGTATCAACACTTGCGTTAAATTGAAAGAGCAGCGTAAACGAGTAGATGTTTGAAGTTTCGAAAAGTTATGGAAACTTTTTTGTTTTGACTGAGGAAATTATCTCGAGTTAAAAACTCCTGGCCATAAAGCCGTATAAGTTTTTGATTACTCTCAGGGGCCGGTATTCTCATTTTTTTCTTTTCCAAGTTAATAAATTTCAAGAGGGAGCTTCGATTCCAGAAGATTGAATTTGTATCGATTTGTTGATTTATTTGAAATATATTTTTTACGATGAAAATTAATATAGTAGTCTACTATATAAAAAAAGTGAAATTTTATTTATTGTTTAACGAAAAGCGGTGAGTTAGGAATTTAAATGAAAAATTTAAAACGGGATGTAAAATTTTAAATGATTGCTTTTTGTTTTTTATGTTATATCTAAGCCGCCTTTAAAAATTACTATTAAATAAAACTTTAATTCATTGTATAACATTGATTTTCGACCATTGGGTTCTTTAATAGGGGAAGATAAATTATTTATAGATACATCAATGTATATATTAGAATTACATTTAGTGAATACATAACGTTTTAAATACAAAATTGATGTTATTATTAACAATTATTAGTATTATAATTTTATTTAATATTAAGCTTAATTGATTTATTCCAGAAATTGAAATGTTGGTTTTATTTAATTTTAATTGTAGTTTATTGCATAGATTTGTAGTTATTAGGTTACACTGTAAGCCGTTGTCTAATAAAACCTGACAAGAATGCATATTTCCTGATTTATCTGCGATATTTATAATAACTGTTAATTAAAGTACAGAGAAAGTACGGAACATGACGATTTTACGGAGGACGTGACAACGCCGAATTTTCATATACTAGAAATAAGCTTGCTCCTATGTGTAAGTGTGGGTGTGGGTGTGGGTGTGGGTGTGGGTGTGGGTGTGGGTGTGGGTGTGGGTGTGGGTGTGGGTGTGAGTGTGAGTGTGGGTGTGGGTGTGGGTGTGGGTGTGGGTGTGGGTGTGGGTGTGGGTGTGGGTGTGGGTGTGGGTGTGGGTGTGGGTGTGGGTGTGGGTGTGGGTGTGGGTGTGGGTGTGGGTGTGGGTGTGGGTGTGGGTGTGGGTGTGGGTGTGGGTGTGGGTGTGGGTGTGGGTGTGGGTGTGGGTGTGGGTGTGGGTGTGGGTGTGGGTGTGGGTGTGGGTGTGGGTGTGGGTGTGGGTGTGGGTGTGGGTGTGGGTGTGGGTGTGGGTGTGGGTGTGGGTGTGGGTGTGGGTGTGGGTGTGGGTGTGAGTGGAATATATAGATATAGTTGTGAATAATCTCATAAATGAGGATATAATATTTATGTAATACAGAAAACACATCTGAACGAGGCCATCTAACAACTCAGGTTGGCTATATCTTTATCTTTAGCTATTACTTTATCTAGTCATACATAATTTATTTTGTAAACTTATCGATCAGTGGATTCCTAATTTTAGGCTTCAAAAACGTTTTGTCTTCCTCGTTAAATCCTGAGAGTTTTACCTTCGTCTTCTAAATTTGGATTATTGGTTCCCTTATCTAAGCTCGGGAATATTGGTAACCTCCTCAAAATTTTGAGATAATATAGTGGACGAAGCATTGTTTGACCTACTTTAGTTAAACTAATATTTACTATCTAAAAAATGATGATTAAAACAAACTTAAATATCGCTCGTAGACTCACTGTTAGTGTTAACCTGACTTACGTAAGCCCATTGGATACGCCAATGTAGAAAGTCTTTTATTTTATAGAAATGTACCTATCTTAGCGTCGACACCTTGCATTTTATTAAAAAAAAAGAACATCGTACAAGTACTGTGTTATGAGGAAGATATACCACGAATAATTATCATAATAAAACATTTAACTTTTAGTAATAAACAATGAAGATAAATCTATTTCCTTTGGGATAATTAAATTGTTATGAATGAACTCATCATGTACGTTATTTTAATAATTAAATACAGCTTTAACAAGTTCTATTTCTGTTGTTTTCATTTCACAAAACATTACGTTTTAAGTTAGTTTATTTTCTCCTGTTCTATCACTAGGTCACTGGATAAGTTAATAGTAATGGAACCTTAACCGACCGTAGAACGTTCGACTGAATCGCCTGTTCAGCTCATACTAAGGTCCTCCCTTTTGTCAGAAAAAACAAGTGACACACTAACTGCAAGTAAACATCTTTTTTCAATCGTGTTTATTACTTATAATAGTTATAGTGCTGCAATCAGGTCTTCGAGTGGGTAAACGACTTTAAACTATGAACAAAATCCAGTTTTTGTACTGAGACATGTTCTATTGGAATAGAGAATGAAAAACCAAATTTTCCACAAAACTCCTAAAAAACTATAATGGCTTGGACAATACCACTGACTGATTTTGTTTAATGTTAACTTAATATTTCCTGAATATAATAACAAGTATTAGAAATTAAAAATTTAAAAAAACCGACTTCAAAAACGTGCAGATGCCGTCACCACATCTTAACCAAATTTATATGGGACCACCCCTGAGGTATCCCCTTACTAACAAAAAAAGAATCATATAAATCGGACAAAGTGGTAAAGCATTATCGCTAAACATACATAAAAAATGAAGAGTTTGAGGAGTTTCTCACAGACCGAATTATTATATTTTGACCAAATTTATATGGGACCACCCCTGAAGTACTATCTTTCTAACAAAAAAAGAATTATTGAAATCGAACATGGTGTTGAAGAATTGAAGAATTATCGCTGAACATACATAAAAAAAAATATTGCGACGAATTAAGAACCTCCTTCTTTTTTGAACTCGGTTAAAAATTAAAATAAAAATTAATTTTTTTAGTTGAAAGACGTAACACCTATTTGCTTCACCGAATAAATTAAATTCCATTGAATTCCATCTTATTTAAAGTGGTAAAATACAGTGATATTATACTTTTTAAGAGAAATAGCTTTCTCTCAAAAGAAAGGATCATTTTAGAAGTTATAAAGTTAAAGATATCAGCTAAACTTATAGCTAATGTTAAAGTGGAATTTTCTTTGTGAAATGCAAAGTTCAGAATAAACTTGAACTTCAGATTTAAATGACAATTACTTTTCTTTTGGAATAAATCCTTACTGTAAAAGTTTTCGCAGTATTTGTGATTTGCGTAGGCTCCTATTGTCATTAACTGCTAATTTTCTGTGTATGCTTTGTTGTACTACGAAAATTAGAATTTTAAATATTCTAAATGGAAAATATCATTCACGCGGTAATCCGGATTCTTTATTATATATACCAAAATACAATTTCTGACACTATGCTGATTTTCAAAACATCTGCAACATGTTGTTCGTGAATATTGTAATTTGAGCCATTTCATTATTCAGTCATGCTCTAATCATCCAAGCCCCTCTCTGTCTTATTTGGCCTTTAAGGCTAGACTTGTCCGATTATCATACATAATTAAACCCCTTAAGACCAAACACATGTGACGACTATGGCATAGGAGCTTTCGATTACTATTCGAGAAAGAACGGAATAATGTTTCTAATGTATTCCAAATATAACGAGATATTTCTAGTTTGGCGGAGGAGCATTCTGAAACCTTTACCATAATTTTAAATTTGTACATAAATATTGGTAGAGGACAATGCGGAATCAGTTATAGATAGACAGTAAATATAAATAGTGAACAATTCAAAGACATTCGAAATATATAAATTAGAATAGTATTGTTATAAATAAATAAGTGTTTAAATAAATTATTAATAAATAAACTGTTGTTTAGAATAAACAAACATCACATTGGTGTCAAAAAGTGAGATAGTGTAAATAAATAGTGGACAATAATGGCTAGAAGACTGTGTGATTTAAAGGTGTCTGAGCTGCGTCGAGAACTAGAAGATCGTGATCTGAAGACAACAGGGAAGAAAGCAGAGCTGGCAGAACGTCTTAAGGAAGCACTATAAAGTGAGGGTTTGGATCCGGAAACGTATATATTTTCGGATAATGCATCTCCTACAATAATTTCTTTAATTTCTTCTTCGGAAAGTAAAATGTCTTCCACGAAAACCGATATTTCTTGTGACATTTCTTCTTTGGATAATAAAGTTTCTTCCATGGAAACTAAAGTTTCTTCTGATGTTTCTTCCATAAAAAATGACATTATATCCTTAGAAGAAAAGGTGTCTTCTGATATGTTTTCGTGAAAAACGAAATATTTTCTTTAGATATCTTCAGATATCTCTTCTTTAAAAGATGAAATTTCTTTTGTTGAGGAAAAAATAATGTCTTCCATTGAGGGGAAAATAGAACAGATGGAAAAGAAGATAGAAGAACTGGAACATACGGAACCGGCCAAGGACGGTGAAATAAAGTGCCATGAGGTAGAGTCGAAGTTGAAATTGGAAAGAGCTGTAAACTATTCTCGTGTTAAAGTCCCAACTATTGACGGAAAGATGTCATGGATGAACTATCTTAAGCAGTTTGAAACAGCTGCCAGAGCATACGAGTGGTCTGAACGGTAGAAAACAATAAATTTGAAAATCGCCCTTCGAGGAGACGCTTTGGATGTCCTTCAGACTATACCCGTGGAAGAGATAGATGATTTTAAACAACTGAAAAGGAGACTCAACATGCGATATAGCCATGAACAGGTGTACCGATTACAGTTGAAGAACAGCAAACAGAAGCATGACGAGAGCCTTCAAGAATTCGAATTAGATATTGCGAAGATGGTGCGATTTGCCTACCCATCAGCTCCGGAAAACATGATGGAATGTTTGGCAGTCCAAACATTTGTTGATGGACTCCGTGACCACGAGATGCAGAAGACACTTCGTTTATTTAGCCCGTCACAAAACATTGGTCGATGTCTTGTCCGCTGATTTTGAATATGAAGCGGCTTCGCTGGCTTTTGGTGGAAGTAAGGACTGTAAAAGAAGAAGAAAAAGAAGAAGAACAGGGAAATAAATTGGACGAATTGTTTCACATGATAAAAACCCTTATTGAGAAGCAACCGAAGACTATTAGGTGCTGTAATTGCGCTGAAATGAGAAATGCAGCAGTTCGCGCAAACGTTCAAAGAACACTACGAATCGAAAAACCGTGCCGGTGGCTTTACAGCAAGGAACAGTGTTGCCTGAAAGTAGTAAAACCATAACAGTTAGGCGGTTGCAAGGAGCTGTAGAGAAAGCAACGCCTGTCAAGGCGGAACTTCCGAAGTGCAATGAAGATATTGGTCAACTCTGATTGGAAAGGGGTTGGCCACATCTGTTAAAGAAGTTACATTACGAAGAACGTAAGTTCTCAGCGATAAGTGGGCCCCTGTCAAACTTAGGAAAGAACAAAAGAACGATCCCGTTTTAATAAGGATAAGAGAATGGGAAGAGGAAAATCGTCGACCTACTTGGCAAGAAGTATCGAAACTCTCTCCAGTAGTTAAATCATATTGGGCTCAGTGGGACTCCTTTATCCTGGAAGATGGCTTATTAAAGCGAGTACTTGAAAATGATGATGGTTCCGAGAACAGAAGATAGTTGGTCACTCCAAGGAGTAGAGTAGCTGAAGTACTCCATCAGTTACACGACAGTCCCTCAACAGGACATCTCGGTGTTAGGAAAACCTTTTAGAGAGTTCAGAAAAGGTTTTACTGGATGAACAGTTCCGATGATGTAAAGGACTGGTGTAAGAAATGTACCACCTCTGCTATGAGTAATGGACCTCAACGAAAAAGGAAGGCTCCCATAAAGCAATACAATGTTGGTAGCCCATTTGAAAGGATCGCCTTAGATATTGCTGGACCATTCCCCGCAACCGAGGATGGTAGTAAATACATTTTGGTGGTTATGGATTATTTCACAAAGTGGGTGGAAGTCTACGCCATTCCGAATCGAGAGTCAACTGTTGCAGATTTGTTGATAAAAGAGTTTATTTTGTCGATTTGGAGTGCCCTTGGAGATCCACAGTAACTAAGGCAGAAATTTTGAAAGTCAACTTTTCCGTAGAATCTGTGAGAGACTAGGCATAGAGAAAACCAGAACCACAGCGTTGCACCCATAATCCGATGGAATGGTAGAGCGAATGAATAAGACCATTGGAAAATATCTGTCAAAAGTGGTTTCAAATCATCAGAGAGATTGGGATCAGAATCTTTCGCTCTTTGCAATGGCTTATAGATCCGCTGTCAATGAATCAACAGGCCAAACACCAGCAAAGGTCTTGTTTGGGCGTCAGATGAGACTACTGTGCGACCTCGAGTTTGGATGCTGACCTGGAGAAGATGTAGCTGGTGAAGATTATGTGATCCAGTTACGAAGAAGAATTGTCGATATGCATAAATTATTTCGCTCGCATCTTCAAATCACCAGCGACAGAATAAAGAAGCGATACGATACCCAAGCCACAAAAGGATGTTTCAAAGAAGGCGACAAAGTTTGGTTTCATAACCCAAAAAGACAAAAGGGTTATTCTCCGAAGCTTCAAAGGTATTGGGAAGGTCCGTATCTCATCAAGAATAAAATAAATGATGTAATTTACCGTATAAGTACGATTCCAAACGGTAAACCGAAGGTAATGCATCAAAACAGGCTGACGCCATTTGAGAATGACCATGAAGAAGAAGTAAACCAACTTCAAGAAACACCAGACCTTGTTTTTGAAGA